TCATAAATAGGATTAAATAAACATATGAACTGTCAGCTTCAATATTTCTTTAACTCGATGGAATCACGAATACAGCTGAATATATGACAAAAATATATTTTTATTTCAAAACTGTAAGTTCGGCCGGGCCGAACTTTTAATTTGGTACAAAATTTGGCAATTTCCAAAAAAAAAAAAAATATAATAAAATCCGTTAAAAATTCTGTTAAAATCTTAAAAATACCGAATGCCTATAGGACGACGTGGACCTCCATAGGCAACTGTTGTCATAAGTTATTACAATATTTAAATGCGAAACTTGAAGAAAAATCTGTTTATAATGTAGCTAAAGTCATCAAAATACCGAATATAGGGGGTACCGTTATATGGGGACTATACGAAGACGTGGACCTACATGACCCATTTTCTGTTTTATGCTGCGGTATCTATTACAAACTTCAAATACTAAATTTGGAACAATTCCGTTAAAAAATTTCGCTAAAATCATCAAAATACCGAATATCGGGGGGATACCGTTATATGGGGGCTATATGAATACGTGGACCTACATGGCTCATTTTTTGACTTAGGATGTAGTATCCATTACGTCCTTCAAATACCAAATTTGAAACGATTCCGGTAAATAATGTCGCTAAAATCATCAAAATACCGAATATCGAGGGGTACTGTATATGGGGGCTATACGAAGACGTGGACCTACATGGCCCATTTTCTGTTTTATGCTGCTGTATCTATACGAACTTAGTATACGTAATTTGGAACGATTCCGTTAAATAATGTCGCTAAAATAATAAAAATACCGGATATCGGGGGGTACCCTTATATGGGGGCTATACGAAGACGTGGACCTACACAGATTATTTTCTGTCTTATCCAAATTGCCAAATTTGAAACAATTCCGGTGAATAATGTCGCTAAAATCATCAAAATACCGAATATCGGGAGGTACCGTTATATGGGTGCTATGTGATAACCTAGACCTACATGGCCCATTTACGAACTTAACCTGCCTACTGGCAAAATATACATGTGTACAAAATTTTAGCCTTCTATCTCAATTTGTTCGAAAGGTAGCGTGATTACAACAGACAGACCGACGGACATGGCTAAATCGTCTTAGAATTTTATGCTGATCAAGGATATATATATACTTTGTTGGGTCAGACATGAGTATTTCTAGGAGTTACAAACGGAATGACAAAATTTATATACCCTCCATAGTATGGTGGAGGGTATAAAAATTACAATAAAAATATTTAGTTCTGCCGGAATGCCGCCCTCTCATGACACCTGTCGATCATCTACATTAGGAGGCGAAGGTCTGGCCGGTGCGACAGCATAATAAAATGCAATCAATGCAATACCTGCTTGGCGGTTACAGACAGACTGATCGACAACGACGTGCAGAACATCTGCCCAGCTTGTGGCACAGGTCCATATGACACTCTGCTCCTATTTCGCTGTCCAGCTAAACCTACTCACCTAACTCCAGTCTCGTTGTGGACCCAACACGTACAGGCTGCATCCTTTTTGAGACTGGACTTAAAGGCAGAACCCGATTGAGAGGATTCAGGTCGAACATAGCAGTATGAGCTGCTACAACAACAACAACAAAAATATATTTAAGAAAATGGCAAATTGACAATACATTCTAAACATGATACAGAAAGCCTATAGTTTGTTGAAACTAGTTCCAATTGTAATCAGAAAACGTTTTAAAAGGAACATATATCTTAAAGTTCCGATGCAATACCTCCCAACATTCCGCATTTCAATTATTTATATCACATTTTCAATGGAACTACAGAAAACTGTCCTCTTTTTATATAGCTCCCAGATTTTAGTTTGAAAATTTTATGCAAATTGGTAATATCAAGGGTACATCCCCTCGGGTAACGAATGGTCGATATAGCTTCACATTTTGCATTTCCCCGTATAACACTGAGCAACACAGCAATAATTACGGGGAAAATCCAGCAGGTTATGAAAGTACATCTTTAAAAATAAACACGAGGTGTATTTCGGACAAGTTTGACCTTTTCCACACTTTTGGTAATTTTCAGTTTACAATTCAATTGAATTTTAGGCAAAAAGAGTTTTGAACGAAAAGGCGAGTCAACGAAGGAGTCCTTTTTGTCTTTTTTAAATATGATTAAAAACTTGCTACGATCCCGTTTAAAGAGAATTTTTAACAATAATTGGCTTCAATTGTGAGATGGAAAAAAAAATTCTGTTTTTGGTTTGTTTGAACCCCTAAATATTTTGCAATCATCTCCAAAAGCAAGAAGCCCCTCTGTATCTCCAAATTTAGACTCATCTATATGATTTGCTTGTCTACGACATTTGGCTATATTCGTCAACGAAATCAGCATAAAAAAGCCCGAAACTATGATATCGACTGTAAGTAATGCTGGCATTTTTCACACAGAATTAGCGGTCCATTGTACCCGCTGTCCTAGTTCTAACTTTATGCGAGATTTAGTGTCCTTTGGTTTTTATTTGTGACCTTTATAACGGGTGCAAAATCAGGAAATTCTTAGTTGTTGGTCCATTTCAACCCCCTAATATATTGCGGACATCTTTGAAAACAATAGGCCCAGCCCTTCTGAGCCTAATCCTACCCTTGTGAAAATTTTCGTGAGGATCGGACCATAATTGCAATACTTATATAATATACCCAACCTGTGTTGTAAGGTGAAAAAATATTACAAAATATTATAAGTCAAATTGAAAAAATCGCATGCTATAAAAAATATGAAAAAATAAAAATATGTCACAAAATACTACAAAATCTATGTTAACATCATTATTGACATATTTTTATTCGATTTTTTAGATTTTATTCTTTTATGCTAAGAGGGCATGCTGAATTGACAAAATTTGTCAAAATAGTTCTAGCCATTCTTGAGATATAAGCGTTCTAGCTAACATCCCCTTTATTTTTATATACACATTGTATATATTTCGCTAAATGTATCCGATATATTTACTATCGGGATCTATGTAACGGTCAGAATTGACCTGTTCGTCTATTTGTGATTTTGCCGGGATTAAAAATATTCGCGGTTTAATGGGAAATTTAACTATTATTTAACACAAATGTTATGGTATATTTCACCCACTAAATATTACCCAATAACCATCAAAATTGGAAGGTTTATGCTCAGCCCTAAGCTTTAGCCCCATGCTAACTTCCGCGTCGATTGGTAAATAATTGCGACCTGTAGAGCAACTGCAAAATCAGAAAATTTTTCAGTTTTTGGTCCATTTCAACCCCTAAATATTATGCGAACATATCCAAAAGAAATAGGGTTCTATTCTGGCTCTAGCCCCACCTCCATTCTAAATTTCGTGAAGATTGGGTCAAAATTGCGACCTGTAGAGTGATTACAAATTAACATGGACAGACGGACGGACGGACGGACGGACATACATAGCTAGATCGACTCAGCTCGGCGAGATAGGAAGATCCATATATACTTTCCTATGTGGAATCAATATTTCGAGGTGTTACATAATTTTTGGCCCAATCAAACTTATAAGACCCCCAACACATAGTGTTGTAGGGTATAATTACCAAAAGTGTGGAAAAAGGCAACCTTATCCGAAAAATACCTCGTATTACATCTGCAATATTGCCGAAGACATTGCTTACCTAAAATAAACGGATTTCGAGTGTGTTAAAGTGTGAAGAGGGGGGAACTTCCACCCTCTACTTAGATTATGTCGCGAAGTAAACATTCCAAATGCACGTGTCTTTTTATACCCTCCACCATAGTAAGGAGGGTACATTAAGTTTGTCATTCCGTTTGTAACACCTCGAAATATACATTTTAGACCCCACAAAGTGCATATATTATTGATCAGCATAAATTTTGTGTCGATCCGTCTGTGGAAATCACTCTAGCTTCCGAACGAAATAAAGTAGATTGATAAAATTTTACTCAAATGTCTGCAGAACTTTTGGAATTGAAATGGGCCATGTAGGTCCATGTTTTGGTATAGCCCCCATATAACGGTACCTCCCGATATTTGGTACTTTGTTGATTTTAGCGACATTATTTACCGGAATTGTTTGAAATTTGGTATTTGAAGTTCGCAATGGATGCTACAGCCCATGACAGGAGATTGTCGGTGCAGGTTCACGTCTTAGTATAGCCCCCATATAACCGTACCTCCCGATATTCAGTATTTTGATAATTTTAATGATATTGTTCACCGGAATTATTGTCAAATTTGGTATTTGAAGTAATGGATACTACAGCCTAATACAGAAAATTGTCTTTGCAGGTCCACGTCTTCGTATAGCTCCCATATAACAGTACCTCCCAATATTCGGAATTTTGATGATTTTAGCTACATTATTCACCGATTTTTTTTTTAAGTTTCGGATTTGATTATTTTATTGGCTTATGACATTCGGTGGTTTTAAGATTTTAACAGAATTTTTAAGGGATTTTATTGAGAATTGCCAAATTCGTTCCAAATGGTGGAGGGTATTTATTGGCACAAAAACTTGTTGAAAAAATAAATTTATCTCGGGTGTTAATAATATCATTGATAGCATTTAGAAGGTAAAGTCATTTCAATGAGCATATCCAGCACTACATATTCTGTAATTTACCTTTAAATGAGTAGAAAACTGGCTCCAATTTCAGATTTTTTTTTATAAACAAATAGTTCGTGAATATACATTTTGACATTGAAATGTTGTTAAATGGGTCATTTTTAAAACAAAAATTACAAATATAAATTTCTTGTGACTTTCCTTTTTTATTTTAACAGGATCGGTGCGTTCAGTATGCAAAAATTAATTATGTCAATATCAAACAATGCCATTAAATTTGCAATTGTAACATTATACTACCCCAATAGTTACGCAGTGTACAAAAACACCCACCACCTCACCATAAACAAATAATATAACTTCATTGAAAACTACAAAATTGAAAAAAAAAAAAAAAAAATACAAAAAAAAAAATCAATTTGACATTTTTCTATTTTGTTAGTCGAAAATAACAAAATTCAAACACACACAATTCATTTCAAAAATTTCTTAAAAATAACTTCGCTTCCTGTAAAGGTGAGTAAATATGGCGATAGAATCTTTTGGATATAACCTTTATATAACAATTCATCTGAACGATCAACAAAGATGACAATTTGAAATGCAAATTTGAACAAAATCTATATGCCAGTCAAGGAAGAAATTGAACCCTTTTTGAGTAAATAAACCAAAGAGCCAAAATGTACCATTCTAGGATATTATCATATTTATATGGCAGTCAAGGAAGAAATTTGAATCCTATTGAGTAAATAACCCAAAAAGCCAAAATGTTCCATTCTGAGATCTTTACAACATTTCATCTTTACAACACTTTTCTGCAATGGAGTACCCGACATGTTGTTTTTGCAAAAGAGAAAAAAGATTATTTAAGTCCCTAAATACTCAAGAATGCAAGGTGGCGTCATGTAAATATCAAAATTATGTGGCTCTAAATGCTAAGTCATAACCACTCCGTGCAATGGCGCTGAATAGATGGTAAGCCAAACTCTAGTTCTATATTAATATATTTCCCATTCAGATAAATATATGCAAAATCGCAGTATGCTTGATTCAAAAATATACATATATAGTGAAATTTTTAAAAGGAGATATTAAACTCACCGAGAGTTTCAGGAATAACAAATTATAATAAAAAAATTTTTGATAACCCTTTCGATTTTAAATGCACTTAAAATTTTATATTTATAATATTTTGTGGGTTTTAAATAAAAAGAAGTAAGCGAAGGCTATAGCCGTGCGGGACCGACCATGTGATACCCTTAAAAACACTACAATATGTATGGTAGAAGCCCCTTATATCCACATTCATTTTGGAAGGTTTCGCTTTTGAAACTATGACATAGAGCACTGTTCAGATATTTTTGACCAGGGGCATTTGCCTAATATGTACGCACTCCGGCGTCGTGTTAGTTGTTGTGAACCATTTTAAAGTTAAATATAATCCAATGGTTATCCAAAATGCTAGACGTCTTCCCTCTCTTTAACTCTCTTCTCATGCAAAACTCCGTGTCGATTTCTTTCAATTGTGTGATCACGAAATTTTTTCTGTTTTTGGTTCATTTGAACCCCTAAATATTTTGTGATCGCCTCCAAAAACAAAAGGTTTCTCTGTATCTCCAAATGTAGTCTCATCTATATGATTTCCTTGTCTACGATATTTGGCTGTATTCGTCAAAGAAATCAGTATAAAAAGTCAGAAGTTCGCCTTTTTGTGTATTTTGGATTTCACCCGTAAGTTATTTTCAGCGTTTCTGTAGAATGGAAATGTTGGCAATTTTTCACTCAAAAATAGTGGTCCATTCTACTCGCTGTCCTAAACTCTAACTTTATGCGAGATTTCTTTATAAAGGCTGCAAAATCAGGAACATTTTCAGTTGTTGATACATCTCAATCCCTAAATATATTGCACGGACATTTTTAAAAACCTTATGAACATTTTCGTGTGAATCGGACGATAATTGTAATATAATAACCCCAACCTGCATTGTAAGATGAAAAAATAGTACAAAATGTACATGCCAAGAGGGTATTCTGAATTGACAAAATTTGTCAAAATCAGTCCAGCCATTCTTGAGATATAAGCTAACATCCCCTTCCTTTTTATATACATATTGTCTATATTTCGCTATATATATCCGATATATTTACTATAGGCGTAACCTTGACCTCTTCATCTGTTTGTGATTTCGCCGGGATTAACAATATTCGCGGTTTAATGGAAAATTTGATTTTTTTTTTAACACAAACGTTATGCTCTATTTCACCCACTAAATATTACCCGATAAAGATCCGAATTGCAGGGCTTTTAACCAGCCTTAAGCTCTAGCCCCATTCTAACTTCCGATTGGTATAAAATTGCGACCTGTAGAGCAACTGCAAAATAAGGACATTTTTCAGTTTTTGGTTCATTCCAACCCCTAAATATTTTGCGATCATCTTCAAAAGCAATAGCCTTATATTCTGGCCCTAGATGATTTCAGTGGCATTATTCACCGGAATTGTTTCAAATGTCGTATTTGAAGTTCGGAATTGGTACTACAGCCTATGACAAAAAAAAAAATTACCTATGAAGGACCAAGTCTTCAAATCTGAGCCGATCTCAATATAATTTTACAAAATATATTTTATTCCAAATTCCGAAACATCTTTTAACCTTATTCGAATTTGCCATATGTACCGTGCTTGGTTAAACAAATAAACGAAATCGGTCGAAAATATATTTGGCAAATTTTGTTTTTGTACCGATTTTTTACACATTCTGAATTTGGAGACTCTATCTATAACCGATCAATAGATATGTGCATTCAAAACCTTAAATTCCTGTAGTCACCTCCGATTCTGATGCTATGTCTCCAATTCCAAGTGGAAGTTCAAAATTGTATATAGCCTATACTTTCAGGCAATGCTGTAGTATGTAAGGACATTTTCAGGAAAATCTGTGTAGCAGTTTTCGAGTCTATAAATTACAAACAAACTATCAAACGTACAAAAATATCTCGGAACGCTATTCAAAATCCGCATTATAAAGCATTCCAATTAAAAAGAAAATTCACATCACATTTTTCAATATCACCAAAAAAAAAGGAAAACATTGTTTTCGTGTTAAAATGTTTTATGACTCAATTCATTTGGATGTCTATAATGTTAGTTGGGTGTTTCCAATCCACGACTGCGACATGTGCGACCCAGGGATATCCTTTACACCCTGTTATTTTTTTTTTTTTTTTTTTTTTTTGCACTAAAACGTAATGGCTCATTTTTGTTGGACACTCCATACAAAATTACACTCCAATCCATTGAATTAACGCTTCGAATTTTTGCAGAATGGTATGAACTGAAAATATTTTGTTTATCTTTATCGTTACGTTTTTAATCATCATAAATTTTAGGAAAGGTAACAAAGTGTTCATGATACGAATAAACAATATTTGCGTGTTTTTCCATTGTCAAGTTTTAACACTTTGTACTACAAAATATACATGTATAAACGTTTATTTGTGTATTCAGCACTTCATTGAAAATACACAGACACATTAACAGCGTCATCGTTTTCCTGTCACCATTGCCACGTAGGCCAAATCGAAATCGATAAGGTTGGAATATATAAACGCCAATTTTTAGCTGATTAATATAAACAAGTAAAATGCTTTCAAACCGAACGTTTACAATTTTTTATTGTCGTATTTTATCAATGTGGATGTATATTGCGATGTCGTAACAACGATAATCGTTATCTGAACAATTGATTTGAACAGCCAGAGATTTGGTATGGGTGAATTGAGAATCATACACAATGTTTGTAGGATAACAATGTATGTGACAATTGCAATAATTCATGCAAAGACAAATATTTGATCTTAAAATAATGTAATTTAAAGAAGTAAAAAACAGCTAAGTTCAATACTACCACCATTTAGTAGGATCAAAATAGAATCAGTTCGGTTGAAAAATGTCTCTAAAGTTATCAAAATAGGGAATATCGGGTGAAAAGGTATATGCCAGCTATACGAAAGCATGCCACTGTATTGTCAATTAACTGCCAGAGAAGTCATATTCCGTCAGGCCGAACTTTGAATGAATTTGAATTTAATTGGAAATCGGTGAATAATGTCGCTAAAATCATCAAAATACCGAATATCGATAAGGGGCTATAGGAAGACGTGGATCTGCACAGACAATTTTCTGTCTTAGGCTGAAATATCCATTACGAACTTCAAATACCAAATTTGAAACAATTCCGATGAATAATGTCGCTGAAATCATCAAAATGCCGAATATCGGGAGGTACCCATATATGGGGGCTATACCAAAACGTGGGCCTACATGGCCTACACTTTCAATACCAAAAGTCCTGCAGAAATAATATACATTTGAGTAAAATATTATCAACCTACTTTATTTCGTTTGGAAGCTGCAGTGATTTCCGTAGACGGACAGACGAACGGACATCGACATAGAATTTTATGATGATCAAGAATGATACTAAAAACATATGGCGAAATGTATAATAATTGCAAAACATTATCAACTCCAGAATAATTCTGTTGAACAATGTCCCTAAAATCGTCAAAATACCGAATATAGGGAGATACCATTATATGGGGGCTATACGATGTCCTTGATATGTACAGCCAAGGCTCAGTCATAAAAGTAGTACCTATTGCGAAAGTAGTTCCCATTGTGTCAAAAATTTTGAAAATACTCAATTTTAAAAATATATGTAGAGAAACAGTTACGTAGGACATATGCTACAACTTTAACCTATATGGACAGTTCTGCAAAGATACTACAGCAAATTCGGTTAAAAATTGTGATTGACACGTCCGAAACTTTTTAAATCCGTCGGTAAAGTTACTGTACCGAAACGAGGACCTGTATAGCCCATTTACAATGCCAAAAAATCCAGCGGACCAAAAATACATCAGAGTAAAGTTTGGTCTACCTAATATTTCGAGGTGCTACTAATGGAATAACAAACTTAATACGCCCTCCATACTATGGATCATATCCAAAAAAGCAAGCTTCTATTCTAACCCTAATCCCACCTCCATGCTAAATTTGGTGAGGATCGGACCATAACTGCGACTTGTCGTGTGATTACGCTAGTACCGTTAAATGGGAGCTATATTAAAGAGCAATATTCTGTCACAGCAGGTAGAACCAGTACCAAATTTGAAACAATGCAATGGATAATACCGAAACTTAGAAGTTACCTCATTTCAAAACCAACCATCCTATACACAATACAAACTAATGGGCCAAATAGTTTCAAAACTCTAAGTCGAAATATTACGCTGATCGTTAATGGGGTCTTGGAAAAATATTTAGAGGTGTTACCAACGGAATGAAATTTTGATTTGGTATCGAAAATTATGTGAATATAATTCTCCACGGAATTGTTTAAAATTTAATATTGAGAGTTTGAAATAAATTCTTCCAGTGACAGAACATTATACATGGGTCCATGTTTTACTGTATCCTCCATATAAATTTACCTTCGGATATTGCTTATTTGGGCGACATTTTCCATCGGATTTGGGTTCTTTCATCGATGTCAGAACACTATATATATTGGTCTACTGTTTTACCGGGTGAGATGAAAAAACTGCAACCAACTTCAGACTACTGTCATTTCTAAGCCACTCGTCCGACAGCTGTTAAAATTATTCCAGTGACAGCTCATTATATTGTTTACAAGCCAACAAAAGCATTTTGGTGCGATTTTTCCAGAAATAAAAGTTATTCCTGATGGAATTTCAAGCGTGATTTCTTTATATTTGGCTGGAAACCACAAGTGGCTATCGTTAGAACACTCCAGCATTTAAATGTGAATAAACCTTTTGTATCTCGTACCTTCCCCGATACCGTGATACTGGTAGCGTAGCCCAACGTCAAGGAAGTGGACGGAAGAAAAAAGCAACATCAGCAGAAATGATTCGAAAAGTAAAGAAGCGACTTGATCGAAAGTCGCGTTGCAGTGGCCGAAAAATGACTAGTGAGCTGAACACATCGCAATATTCCATTCGACAAATATTGAAATATGAGCTGGGGGTAAAGACATTGAAATTTCAAAAAGTACAAGAACATACACCGCAACAGAAAGGAAATAGATTCAAAAGAGCCAAAGAGTTGATTCGCTTGGCCGAAAGTGGTGAACTGCTTGGTAAGCAAACCAAATTATCTTGCCAAAGAGGTCAGCTGAATATGTGTGGGCCGCCATAACAGCCGATGGTCGCTCTCCGCTCATATTAATTTACCATGGCATCAGAATAAATGCCGAATAGTATCGCAAAAATATTCTGGAAGGTGTATTAAAGCCTTAGGCACGCAAACATTTTGTTCGCAGGGCTTGGACATTCCAACAGAACTCAGCACCATCGCACTCAGTACGCGCCACCCAAGAATGGTTACAAAATGAGGTTCTTCGCTTCGTACAATGGCCACCAAAATTTCCGGATGCCAATCCCTTGGACTATTGTATCTGGATAATTTTGGAAAGCAAGATTCGGGCAGCGTGTGACGGTTTCATTGGCCGTTTGAAGGTCATAATTCGTGCCAAAGGTGACCAATTCGAACTTATTCGAAAATTTGGTGCTACATCCTACATTTTTTGCTTTCATTCAATAAAAGTTTTTTTATCTCACCCTGTATATATATAACCATCATTTGTCCCACAAACTTTTCGCGGAGTTGAAGCACAAACATGATCATGCACTCCATTGCGACGACAACGATAAAACATTATCTCATTTTTGTAATGCCCATGACATTAGTGCATATATAGGTATGTAGCAGAAAATAAAAATAATTACATAAACATAAACTTACCTTAAGATTAAATTCGAAGACAGTAAGTTTTTGCCCTTTTGGTTTTGACAAGCACAATGTTAAAGTTCTGTCTTCGTGTTAGAGTGATTAAGTTTAAACTTTGTCTACTTAGGTGATTTACAGGTGCTAGAGTTGCTGTTGCTCGTGTCTTCTTCAAGAAATTAAGAAGAAAACGGCGACGAGGACGACGACAACAACGTTGAAGAAGAAAAGTGCACAAGAATAATTCGTTGGAGAGTTCACTTGGCTTTTATTTCTCTAGAAAAGCGCAACTGTTTAATTGTTTGTGAAAATGGAAGCAAGACAAGCGTAGTATAGAGAGTGTACTTAGACAACTGGGACTAGATAGTTTTAATTAATGAAGAAAACTGTAATGAGAATAAATAAAATTAAAGACTATATTATTAAGGTGGACAACACATCAAATGTAATTATCAACATAAATAGGAGTTAAAATAAAATATAGTTTGAGAGGTACAGATATTAAAATATATTGAACTAGAATAAAAGCAGACACATTATTTTCAATCTTATTACATACATTTTGAATGTAATTTTCATAAAAATTGCACCAAGATATATGAATTATTCTGAGATTCATAGTGAAATTTGTGTTGAATGTTTCCCTATTCGAAGCTTTCCGCCTAAAATGAAATGTTATACGCTATTAACTGAAAAAATCCGGGGAAAATTTGATTATAAAGATAGGAAGTATACTGGTTTTTGGTAACATTGATACAAATATTTTTTATACCCTCCGCCATAGTATGGAGGGCATATTAAGCTTGACTTTCCGTTTGTTGCACCTCGCAATATACAATTTAGACCCCACAAAGTATATATATTCTTGATCAACATAAAATTCAATGTAGATTTACCGATGTCCGTCCGCAATAGGTCGTGTAAGACCACGTTTCGGTATAACCCCCATATAATGGTACGTCCTTATTTTCGGTATTATGGTGAGTTACGCGACATTATTCACCGGAAATGTTTCAAGTTTGGAATTTGAAGTTAGGAATGGATAAAAAATTGTCTGTGCAGGTCCACGTCTTCATATAGCCCCCATATAACGGTACCCCTGATATTCGGTATTTTGATGATTTTAGCGACATTATTCATCGGAAATGTTTCAAATTTAGTACTTGAATTCGTAATGGATACTACAGCCTTTGACAGAAAATTGTCTGTGCAGGTCTTCGTATAGCCCTAATATAACGGAACCTCCCGATATTCGGTATTTTGATGATTTTAGCTACATTATTAACTGGAATTGTTTCAAAGTAAGTATTTGAAATTCGCAATGGATACTACAGCTTATGACAGAAAATTTCCTGTGCAGGTCCACGTCTTCATATGACCCCCATATAACGGTACCTCCTGATATTCGGTATTTTGATGATTTTAGCGACATTATTCGCTGAAAATGTTTCAAATTTGGTATTTCAAGTCTGCAATGGATACTAACGTCTTAGACAGAAAAATGTCTGTGCAGGTCTACGTCTTCATATGACCCCCATATAACGGTAGCTCCTGATATTCGGTATTTTGATCATTTTAGCGACATTATTCACCGGAAATGTTTCAAATTTAGTATTTGAAGTTCGTAATGGATACTACAGCCTAAGACAGAAAATTATCTGTTTAGACCCACGTCTTCGTATAGCCCCCATGTAACGGTACCTCCCGATATTCGGTATTTTGATTATTTTAGCTACATTATTCACCGATTTTTTTAAGTTTCGCAGTTACTTATTGTAATGGCTTATGACAAAGGTTACCTAGACCCCTAATTTAACGGATTTTTTTTTTTTTTTTTTTTTGAAAATTGCCAAATTCGTTCCAAATGGTGGAGGGTATTCATAGTTTAGCCCGGCAGAACTTACAGCTTTTTTACTTGTTTTGGTGTACGTTCCGTACAAAGAACTTTACAAAAAATCAAATGATATACGAATTTAACTCTAAAATGTGTTTTTAATATTAAATAAATCCCTGGTAATTAGAAATGTCTTAGAGGTCTCATATATTCTGGAACCTTCATTAGAAATTCATGGTAAATGACAAACGACAACCGAATAATTTTTAAATAATTCTTGCATTCAGCTCATAATTGTGTTAAAACCTCTACTCGTGTCAAATCGTCACCCTTTGTAACTATTTGCAAATATAGCATTTCCAAACCCATAAAAAATACCCCTGTCGTTGCAAAAACAAAAAAACTCTTATCTTCCTTCCTACTTTTTCCATTCACTACCACTGACCCAGACTTTTATCATAGGAAATGCTCTTCAAAACTATCTTTTAAACTTGAAGCTCTAAAACAATTTGTTTGAAGTAATGGTCCTTAGGTGTAAAGAGGAAGCCAACTAGGCCATATCACCCTCCAAGGTAAAACATATTTTTGCCGGAAAAAAGTAAACAGAACAAATTACAAGCGTTAGAGTCCAGAGAAAATGAAGATAAACACAATGAATGACTGCTTACAATACAAAGCAGTGGCAGTGGAAGCTAATGGCCACATATACAGGTCAAACTAATGAAACTGTGTCCCCCTCCCCCTTTTTATAGGGGCAACACCTTAAATGCAGGAAATATCCACTATCATGCTATGGGACAAAGGACTTAAGTACATGTCTAACAAAAACAAAATTTAATGGAACAGATTTGGGATAAAAATATACGAAGGGAGATAGCCCGCTTTGCTTAAGGGGCATACGGATGAACAAACTCACACGCGTACAAAGAATTAGGAAGTTAATCTAAAGTACGTTACACAAAAAAGAAAAATAAAACCTAAAAAATCTCTTTAAAAAGTAAACATTTACAGAGAAACAAAAAAAAAAACACTTCACAGAGAATAACAACAAAACCAAGGCGGCAAAAGATAAGGTCGTTCATGGCTACAGTCCGTGGCGAACACAAAAAAAAGTATTCGGAAGCTAAATAAAGGCAACTATGCCACCACAACTTCTTATTTTCGTTCTACCAAGACAATTTTTTTATGTCTGTAAGTAACCCTTAGTGTTGGCCTGTCTTATATGCCTGTGGTCATCCTGGCTGACACAAAGTCTTTGTTAATAGTTGGTATCTCCATCCGGCTCGGGAAGAGACAAACAAACTTTAATAAGTATTCATTGTTATTGCCACGTATATCGTCAAAGCGAATATGACAGTGGAATAGAGGGTCCCTTTTTAATAATGGACATTGGCTATCAAACACTCAAGAAAAACAAAAAAACGAAAGAAAGAAAGAAAGAAAAAAAGATATCCTGTTAATGAAATTAGCAAAAGATAGAGACGAACGACTTCCAAATATAAGCAAGCCTATTTGGCTCTGTTATTTTTCAATTATCCAGAATACCAAAATGCAGCAAATTTGAAGGAGCGACCTTATGGCAATTTCGGCATTTGCCATAAAATGTTATGTTGTTTAGGCTCAGAGAAACACAGCAGCATCAACTATGACACCTCAGGGAGCATTTTCGTATGAGATCTACTAATCTTTTGATAGCCAGTCTTTCGTAATGTGTTTACCAAGTTAAACTTAATGGCCGAGTACAGCAGAATATTGAAAATAGTATTTGAGAAGGTCAAATGGAAATTTAGATACAATCTGAAGAGGAGAAAGCTGAAATAAGTTTTTTAGCAGATTACTTTAAAACTGCGTATTATAAAATTATATTTGAGATATCAAAAAAATGCTGTAAATGTCTGAACAGTACTATACAAAAAAGTGTTATTTACACAGATATTTAATAAAGAAGAAGTAAAAATCAGATAAGATTCCAATGTATGGGGGCAACACTTATATTGGATATTTTGCGGACGTGTCAATGTACCGAATGTTCTATTTTAAATCTCAGTTTTTATGGAAAGAAAAAAGTTTGCTCACATTATACGATTTCTCTAAAATCGTTACATTTGGAAAAATATTGAAAATATCGGTATCAAAATTAGTATACGAGATACTACTCTCCAACACTAAATATTTTTTTGGGGCGGGCTAATAATCAATGTCAAATTTTTTGAAATTATATGTATAACAAGTAAAAAGCAGTAAGGCCGGGCCGAAGTTTGAATACCCTCCACCGTTTGGAACAAATTTGGCAATTTTTAAAAATGTAAAATCAATCAAAAATTGTGTTAAAATCTTAAAAATACCGAATGTAGCCGTTATATTAGGGTCTTTACTATTTACTATTCAAATGCGAAACGGTAAAAATATACGAAGGGAGATAGCCCGTATATGTAGCTTAAATCATCAAAATACCGAATATTGGGGGGTACCGTTATATGGGGGCTATATGAAGACGTGGACCTGCACTGACAATTTTCTGTCATAGGCTGTAGTATCCATTACGAACATTAAATGCCAAGTTTGAGACATTTCCGGTGAATAACGTCGCTTAAATCACCAAAATGCCGAAAAAAGGGATGTACTATTATATGGGGGCTATACCAAAACGTTTTCAATAGCAAAAGTCCTGCATACGCAATACACATTTGAGTAAAATTTTATCAACCCACTTCATTTCGATCGGAAGCTAGAGTGATTTCCACAGACGGATAGATGGACAGACGGACGGACATCGCTAGATCGACATAGAATGTTATGCTGATCAAGAATAAATAAACTTTGTGGGGTCTAAATGTATATTTCGAGGTATTGTAAACGGAATGACATACTTAATATATGCTCCATACAATGGTGGAGGGTATAAATATGGTGTAAAAATGAGAACGACTGGACCGAATTGATTTAAAGTTCCTTTGGGTTGTTTGTAATGCAGTGAGAAGGTTTTTACGAAAAATTAGAAAAATCGAAAGTTGATTTTTGGTATGGAATTGGAATCGAAGTGGACAAATTCTGAAAATCGCGAAAATTTGCGGTTGTCCTCACGACTTGATTTTGATAGATCTAAGTTAGAAAATTCGTTTTGAAACAAATTTCGGAGAATTAAGAAATCTGTTTAGATAAAGAGAGTGATGTTACTTACTACGCTAAAAAGTCACATTAAAATATGTCAATCAATATGTGGTGCACAAGTGTGGCATCGACAATAATTATGGTCTTTCCCAAATTGAAAAAGAGACTATTATTAAAATCTCGCATGCAACACTAGAACTAATTTTGGAAATTTTCTTTTGTGATGTGAGGATGCGTTGCATCCACATATATTTCAAAATATCAATTTGTAGTCACTTCAGATGAAAGATGCTACTAACTCATTCACAGCAACAAAAATAGCTACATATTTCGAAAAGTGGGCTATATAGTGGAACCATATAGTGGGCATTATTAAAAATTGTGTGACAAAAGAATCTATAAATTCGAAAACACTTCTAAAGCCATTGTCAAACACAATAC